ACACTCATCCCTATTACCCCAGTCACTGAATCAATCCATCTCATAAGGGCTCTTCCTTTCTTGCACTGTCCTTCCACCCTTCCAAGCATGATGTCCCTCTCCAAGGACTGGTCTCTCCTTGCAACATGTCCAAAGTATGTCAGACGAAGTTTCAGAATTCTTGCCTTCAAGAAGCAGCCTGGTCTCACCCTCTCTAAGACAAACTTGTTTATTCTCCTAGCAGTCCATGATACATTCAATACTCTTCTCCAGCACCACAGCTCAAAAAGCATCAATTCTCCTTCTATCATCCCTAGCCATTGTTCAGCTTTCTGACGCATAGCAAATAATTGGACCATTATAACTAATAAAATGTATGTAGGGGCCTCAGTGGGGAAGGGATGGGAATAGAGTTACAAGCAAGGGTAGGGGGGAAATCACAGGGCCACACAGTTTGGTGGGTGGGGCAAGGGTTTAAAAGAAATGGGAAAGATCTGGTGGGAACCTGTAAAGACGAGGTAATGGTGGGTACAGTCTAATTGAGATTAATTTTATAAAAAATATATTAAATGATTGTGTGAAACATAAAGTCAATGAAGGAAAGTGTGTGAGGAAAGCTGCATTTTTAAAAATTAGCTTATTTTTAAAAAGTCAATTGTAATGAAAGAAAAAGTTCCAGTTACACTGAAGGTTTTGGGGGGCAAAAATAAGGCCCCAGGAATCAATGGAATACCAACTGGCATGTTTCAAATAACAGCCCTGCATGTCCACATACATCAATATATACCAGGAACTTTTGATGACCTGGATAACTGACTGGAAGAGATCCATTTTTATTCCCATTCCCCAAAAAGGTGATCCAATCGAATATGTAAACTACCAAGCAATAGCATTAATATTGCATGCAAGCAAAATATTGCTGAAGATAATCCAACGATGGCTGCTCTTGGTACAATAAATTTCCAGAAGTTCAGGCTGGATCCAGAAGAGGCCATAGCATGAGGAATATCATTGTGGTGTCCAGTGAATTTTGGTTTAAAGCAGAAAATACCAGAGGAGTGTCTATTTATGCTTTATTGACTATGCAAAGGAATTTGACTATCTGGATCATAACAAATTATGGCTAACTTTGAGAAGAATGAGAATTCCAAAACACTTATGCTCATGCAAACTTTATACGTAGATCAAGAGACTGTTGTCCCAACAGAGTAAGGGAACACTGCATGATTTAAGATGAGGAAAGGTGTATGTCAGAGTTGTATCCTCTCTCCAAACATACTAAATCTGTACGCTGAGCATATCTTTCAAGAAGTGGACATATGAAGGAAAATGTGGAATTAGGATTGGAAGAAGACTCAACAACCTGCATTATGCAGATGACACAATCTTGCTTGCTGAAATGAGGAAGATTTAAAGCACTTGTTACAGAAGAACAACGACTATAGCCTTCAGTATGGATTACGTATATCAGCATCATGAAAATAAAAATTCTCATCACTTGACCAATATACAACATCATGATAGAGAGTGAAAAGATTGAAACTGTCAATGAATTCATCTTACTTGAAGCCACAATTAACACAGTACCAGCAGTCAGGATATCAGAAGACATACTGCATTGGCAAGGCCACTGTCAGGGACCCATCCAAATTACTGATGAGCAATGTCAGTTTGAAGACTAAGCGTGTCTGATTCAAGCCATGGGTCTTTTCAATTACTTGGTATGATGACAAGATTGAGATTGTTGACAGCTTCAGTTTGCTTGGCTCTACAATCAACACTCTTGGTACTAGCAGCCAGGAAATTAAAAGACAAATTGTATTGGGAAAGTTTACTGTCAGAGACTTCTCCAAGGTAATGAGGAGCAATGGTGTCAGTCTGGAGACTAAGGCGTGCCTGATACAGGCCATAGTCTTTGTAATTACTTGCTATGCATCAGAGAACTGGACAATGAGTAGGGATGATAGAAGGAGAGTTGATGCCTTTGAGCTTTGGTGCTGGAGAAGAGTGTTGAATATACCAAGGACTGCTAGGAGAACAAGCAAGTTCATGTGCAGCCAGGCTGCTCCTTTGAAGCAAGGATTCTGAAGCTTCATCTGACATACTTCGAACATATTGCAAGGCAGGATTAATCCTTGGAGAAGGACATCATGCTTGAGTGGGTGGAGGGACAACGCAGGAGAGGAAGACCCTCAATGAGATGGATTGATTCAGTCACTGGGGTAATGGGGATAGGTGTCTTGGAGACAATAAGATTGGCAAGGGATAGAGCAGAGTTTAGGGCTGTTGTATAAGAGAGTCACTGAGTCACAGGCAACTCGATGGCACATAACAACAACAAACAAACAAGCTATGCATCTGAGAACTGAACAATGAATAAGGATGACAGAAAAACAATGGGCACCTTTGAGTAGTAATGGTGGAGAAGAGCACTGAATATCCCATTGGGCTGCCAATAAAAACATACAGATACATCTTGGAGAAAGTGCAGCCGCAGTGCTCCTTGCAAGCAAAGCTGACAAAGTTTTGCCTCACATACTTTGGGCATGTTGCTAGGAAAGGCTCTTCCTTGGAGAGGGTCTTCATACTTGGAAAGGTGGAAAGTTAGTAAAAGAGAGGAAACCCCTCAGCTTGACGGACTGACAGAGTGACTGCAGCATTGGGTTCAAGTACATAAAAAATAATGAGGATGGCACCGGGTAGGGCAGTGTTCACATAAGTTGGTCATAGGGTTACTATGAGGCAAGTTCGACTTGACAGCACCTAACAGCAGGAACAATTTTGTTTTTGGGATCAAAGATTGTTTGGGACAGAAACAATGAGATGCTTTAAGTATTCAGAACTTTGGAAAATCACTGCTTTGGTATAGCCAGTTTCTTCCCAGCTCTGGTTTCTCATCAGAATCTGGCAACCAGTCATTACCTGCACAGTCATCATCCATCACTGCTGTTGGGAAGAGGGCCGTAACGTGGAATTAGTAGCAAAAAGTTTGGAGTCCGAGTGCCTGGTTTCCAGTTGTGGCTTTGCTTCAGCTAGCACCAGTACCTGGGGAGATTGATTGTGCCACCTCTTCCACCCTGGACTATGAAATAATATGCAATATCAGCTTCCTTTTTTTATTTTTTAATAATTTTAATGAATATTTACAGAGATTTTGGATTTCCATTCATTCATTGCTGCACTTCTCTCCCAGCCCAGCCCTCCACCCACACCCACCCCCAGTTCGCTCCTCTCTTTGAAAAGTAAAAGAAAAACTCTCTCCCTGGTACACAATCCCCCTGCACCCCTCCCACTACCCCAAGTATATTCCACTATGCAACCTTAATTGTGGACTCTTGTGATGACCATAAAACCCTATCATACATAGCTTTTAAATTATTCTCTCCCTCATCTGTTTCAGTGCAGTATACACAATTTATCCAGTTTTTCTCAGTCTTACTCCAACTCTGATATCAGGCCCATTTTACAGCAGTGGCACCATGCAATATTTGTCCTTTTGTGACTGAGATATTTCACTCAGCATAATGTCCTCCAGAGTTACCCATTATGAATAATATTGCATGAGTTCCTTGTTTTTCAATGTAGCATAGTATTCCATTGTGTGAATATACCATAGCTTCTCTATCCATTCATTTGTTGATGGGCACCAGGGTTGTTTCCAACTCCTTGCTATTGTGAACAGAGCCGCAATAAACATGGGTGTGCATATATCTGCTTGAATGTCAGTTATGGTCTCTTTGGGATATATTCCCAGTAGTGGAATTGCTGGCTCAAATGGTATCTCTATTTGCAACTTTTTGTGAAAGCGCCATACCACCTTCCACAGTGGTTGCCCCATTTTACACTCCCACCAACAGTGAATAAGGGTTCCAGTCTCTCCACAACCTCGCCAGCATTTGTTGTTAGTGGTTCTATTTTGCTATTCTGACTGGGGTGAGATGATATCTCATAGTTGTTTTGATTTGCATCTCTCTTAGAGCTAGGGATTTTGAACATTTCTTCATGTGCTTGTTGGCCATCTGAATGTCTTCTTTGGTGAAGTTTCTGTTCATATCCTGTGCCCATTTTTCAATTGGATTATTTACCTTTATCTTGCTGTGGTGCTCAAGTATTTTATAAATTCTAGATTTAAGTCCCTTATCTGACATGTCATTCCCAAATACTTTTTCCCAATCTCTGGCTTCCCTTCTTACCCTGTTGGGAAAATTCTTGGATGTGCATAGGGATTTGATTCTTAGAAGGTCCCATTCATCTATTTTATCTTCTCCAGGTTGTAGAAATATCAGCTTTCTTTTTACCTACACAGAAGTCCTGCTCGCCAGGGGCCTATCAGAGAACTCTGTTCATTACCATGAGATACACAAGCAAGTCGATTTTTTTTACTATATTTATAAATACAAAATAATGGACAGCAAGGTAATTGATAAGATTGGCTATTCTTTGCTTATTCTTATGTTATCTTTTATGGTTGCAATAGCCCTGGTCTCAGATGGATGTATCCTTGTCCAGGAATGGGCTAGCCTTTCAAATTTCTGTTAAATGAAGAATTCCTTAGAGACTTTGAGGGGTGTGTGTGTGTGTGAGAGAGAGAGAGAGAGACAGAGAGACAGAGACAGAGAGAGAAAGGAGAGGGTATTACCTTCTCCCAACCCTGTGTTCTTAAAACATTTAGACACAGCCTGGATATACTGAGTAGCATTAAGAATCCTTCCTTGCCAAAAAAAACAGAAATAAATAAAAAAGAAAAAAAGAAAAAAGAATCCTTCCTTGCCATCGTTCCTGCTAGACCACGCCTTCTACACCCTGGCTTTAGTTGTCACCAGTACCCCTAACAGCACACTTCCCTGAACCCTACCCTCTAGGTTCATGGCAGGACCTGGGAGCAGATATTCCTCACGCTGTCTTAACACCCTCTCCACCAAACATGCAAACCCTTAAACAGACAGGACTCCTGCTGCCCTCACCTTTGTTTCATTCCTCCTTGTGATAAACTGTTGCATTTCGTGTGTTTCTCCTTTCAGGAATTAAGAGGATACAACAACTTGCAAAGAACACAAGATATTTCAGACGGAGGCTAAGTGAAATGGGATTCATTATTTATGGCAATGAAGAATCTCCTGTGATCCCTGTGCTCCTTTATATGCCTAGTAAAGTGGCGTAAGTATCCAAGGGTTTCAGAACACTGCCTGAAGCCCGGGAGGCCTCACCAACGTGCTGCTCTTGATGCCAGAGAAGCATTGGGTTACAAGCACTGAGTTACCTGCCAGCCCCTGAGAAGGGCCTGTCCACAGAGTCCATAGGAAGGGAGCCAGGGTCCAGGCCAGCTCTTCTTCCTCACACTATCTCAAGCTCTGGGATTTGGGGAAATACACATACCTCTCCAAGCCTCATCTTCAAAATCAAGGTCACAAAACATTTACCTTAGCTTCATCCTGACCTAGATCGTCCTTGGAGAGACTTTCTGAAGAACGTATAAGGAGCCCTGTGCTTTCTTTCATTCAGTTCTCATGGTCAACCTGGGAGGAAAGCATCATTGCCGTCTTCATTTGAATGTGGGTTAATTTAGCATGTGAACATGACCTGAAGTTACACAGGCCAGGAAGCAGAAGTACTAAAATCCAGACATGAACCTCCACCTTCTCTTAATCTTCTTTTAAAATCCATGCTCTTAATTCATGCTCTTAACAACCAATTTTAATGCCTCTGCTAAAACCGACTTAGAGTTTTCCCCCACTGACTAGAATTCTAGGATTAATTAATAAGAAAAATTTCATAGAGATAAAGAAGCTACTTTTTTTTCTCCGTAAGTTATGGGCAATTTTATAAAAGAGCTATAGGCAAACCTGCTAGAAACTAATCAAAAGTCAAACCAGATGAAGCCCATAGCCTTCAGGTCAATTCAGAGTCATAACAACAGGATAGAACAATCCTACAAGATTTCCAAAGCTAAAAAATCTGTAGAATAATACAGCCACATCTCTCTCCCACAGAGCAGCTAGTGGGTTCAAATTGCCAACTTTTTAGTTGTCAACCAAATACGTTATCTATTATGCTATCAGGGTTCCTTCAGAGACACAGTACCTGTTATTGAAAAGGGATCCTTTCTAAATATAAAATGTTTATTTATGTCTCTGACAAAGTATATGGTAGAATGCAACATTCATCATGATATTTATCATATTCTAAACTTTGTAACTCTTCTAACACATTCCACTGTTGGAAATTGCTGTCTGTCGAATAGTTGAATCAATGGACAATCTTTTTGGATTATTGTATAGAAAAGTACTAGCCTGTTCATGATGGATCAGCTGAGAACTCAGTGTGCTTCTGCATATTCTCTGCTGGTGTCACCGCAACACAAACGTTACAGACAAACACATAAGGATTTTAGTCATTCCTGCCAGTCAAACTTTTATTCAAAAACCTATGTCAGACGAAACAGTTCATACAGTGGCCAAGAAGACAGCATGCAACAGAAATCATATACTCACTGCCACTCTGCTGATGGCAGGGAGAGTAAATGTAACAAGCAACCCAAACCCTTTCTAATATGAATTTGAATGCTGTATTAGAAATTCTACATTTATCCAGGGTGGTTGGGAAATGGTGTATCCTGCAAGAAACACTCAACATATCTGTCTGGTATTTTATTAGTTCAAATTAAAGCAAGTACAGCTGATATTTAATTATTAGTCCAGATTAAAATAAAAAAATTTTTTTAAAAAAACCCCTTAGTCAAAATATAACATATACAAAGATGTAGGACCAGTAATAAGGAATGGCAAAAGTCATAAGTAAAATCTCAATAGGAAAAAACCATAATCAGAAATTTTTATGACTAAAAAAATTTAATGCATTTAAGTTAAAAATTTCAACTGTATAAAACAGGATGATATGGGATGTTTATCTGTTTGGAAGACATGACTAGACAACAGTTTACATAGGAAATTAAAAATTAGAATGTTCATATAAACTTTTGTATAACTTTACAGAAGACTTAGTCTCTATAGTGTAGTGAGATATTTGCAATCAAATGTATTTTTGACTCTTCCTTCCTAACTGGAAGACTTTGCACAAATTCCTCAACCTTCTGAAGCCTCAGTTTTCTCACTTGTAAAGTGACATATAACAGTGTCTAATTCATAACCTCATTGTGCGAATTAAACAACATGAGATCTGTGCAGCATTGGACATGTTACCTGTGATTTATGAGCTATTCAACGTTGTTTTTATGTGACGTCGAGTCACCTACGACTCATAGTGACACTATGCACAACAGCTCTGTCCTGAGCCGATCTCACTAACTCCAACATTCCACCCTCGTTGTCCTGGTTACTGTATCAATCTATCTCATCAGGATCTTCCTCTCTGGAACAGTCCCCTCCACCTTTCTGAGAATGATATCCTTCTCCAAGGATCAGTCCCTCCTGGCCACATGCCTCAAAATCTTAGCCTCCAAGAAGAAACTTGCTTTCACCCTCTCCAAGACACATCTATTTGTTTTCTTGGCTGTCCATGTATGTTCAAGACTCTTCTCCAGCACCACAACTCAAAGTCATAAAGCCTTCTTCTGTTGTCCTTAGTCATTATCCAGCTCTCTGATGCACAGCAAGTAATTGTGAAGCCCATGGCCTGGATCAAGCGCACCTTAGTCTCTAGACTGACATCGTTGCTTCTCAGTACTCTGGAGAGGTCCCTGACAGCGGATTTACCTAATTCAACAATATTCAGCATTAGCTATTACTATTAACAATGCTAATAACAAGCATAAAGCACTCTATACAGTGTTTGCCATAATCTAAGCAGTCTGTCAATGGTAGTCATTCACAATAGTCGTGGCATTGGTATGATTATTATGCTTAAACTGACTACAAGTTTATGTTGAGCTGACATGGTTTCACAGTTCTCAGAAATAGCTATAGCACCAGTAAGGAGTTGCACTGCCAGCCCAAAAGCACTCACCTTGAACTCACTGGCTGCTTCTCAGGAGAAGGACGGCAATTTCCTCTCATGTGATTTACTGCCTCTGAAAACCCATTAGAGGATCAGCTATGAGTCAGTTTCAACTTGACAACAAACAACAACAACTTTGAAAAAGGATCATAAATAACAACTTCCTAGTTTCTCCAAAAGTTCCCAAATCTTACCCAAACGAAATATAAAAAATTAGAATTAGAAGTCAACATTGACAAGATGTGATTCAGTAATTTAAAAACCTTATTCCAGCTTTGCCAATCTGTTGTCCATTTCCTGGACCATGATCTAATTTAGAATCACATATTACATTAAGTTGTCATGTTTCCCCAGTCTTCTTCAAATTAAGAAAGAGATTTCCCTCATTTTTCTTCATCTTTTCTAATTTTTTGGAAGCAGGAGTGGCATCCACTTCCATAAAAGCTTGCCTCAGGAAACCCTACAAACCTGGATAGAGGATAAAAGTCACACAAGTGTTGAGGACTCTCCTTCATAGGGTTGCTATGAGTCTCCTTTGACTCGCCGGTACTTAACAACTTTGTAATTTTAACACATTTGAAAAGCACTGGAAAATTCTGTAGTGTGTTTTTCAATTTTAATCTGTGGGTTGATTTTGTTTTTCTTATTTTCAATTCATGTTGTTTTCTTCTTATTATTGTTTTTCTTTGTCCATCACATCATTTAACTGGTTTGTCAAGTCCTGTTTTAGCCTCAGTACTTTATATTTAGTAAGACCATGCTGTCTCTACATCCCATGACTGGTGATGTTAACTTTGATGGTTTGGTAAAGGTGGATTGGGCCTGCCAGATTCTCCACCACAAAATAAATTACTCTTTTCCCCATTTGTGAGGTGGTGGTGTGGGGAATGCTATTACAATCTTTGGCTGCATAAATTAAAATTGTAGAAAAAAAATTAGTCTAGCAGCTGGACCATGTCCAACATTAGGTAGCTGAATCACTGACTCAGAAACAACCATTAGCTGTCCATCCACTGGGTGTCTGAGGCTATAAATTGCACAAGAGAAGACTATCGATCTTTATTCCAAAGAAATGAACTGCCAGGGATGCGTGGCCATTGGATTAGCAGCACAGCTTTGCCAACAGAATTGTACAACCCTGAGTCAGTGGAACTATTTTGGTTCCTCCACTTATGATTGTTTTCAAGAAGTAACTAACATTGGAGCAGTGGTAGTTCAGTAGCAGAATTCTTTCATTTGATAAAGGAGAGGAAAACACCTCATGTCCAGTCACTATGCATCAGTAGAAATAGGGCTGCCACTATGATGCTGACTCAGCTCTGGAGGCACAGCAGTGAAGAATCATGTGGCCAATGCAAAGGTATATGGTTCAAGCTCACCAGCTGCTCCACAGATGAAAGATGAGTAATCTTGTCTAAAGTAATTTACTGTTTCTAAAAACCCACAAATGTGTTCGCTGTGAGTCCGTTTCAACTCGATAACACACAAGAACAATAACAGTATCGAAGAGATTTTAGAAAAGCTTCTGGAAGAAAGACAAAGAAGAAAGGCCTGGTGATATACTTCTGAAAATTTGCCAATAACAACCCTAAGGATCAATAATCAACAGCTGATCATGGAGATGGTACAAGACGGGGCAGGGTTTTATTGCATTTTATATAATGTTGTCATATGTCAGAGGCCCTCTTGATGGTAGCGAACGTTACTCAGTGCTGATTATATGAGGGTGTAATTCTTATTCCCATGTTGTTGTTGTTGTAGTTGTTGTGTGCCCTCAAGTTGGCCTGCAACTCATAGTGACCCTATGTATAGCAGCTCTGAAGCCTGACCTGTCCTGAGCCAGTCTCACTGACTCCGATACGTCTATTCCCATTGACCTAGTTACTGTATCAATCCATCTCATGTGGGTCTTTCTTTCCTGTGCTACCCTTCAACTCTTCCGAGCATGATTTCCTTCCCCAAGGATCAGTCCCTCCTGGCAAAATTCCCAAAGTATATGAGATGGGGCTTCAAAACCCCAGCCTCCAAAGAGAAACTTGGTTTCACCCTCTCCAAGATACACTTATTTGTTTCCTGGCAGTCCATGGTATGTTCAAGACTTTTCTCTAGCACTACAACTTAAAGTCATCCAGCTCTCTGATGTATAGCAAATAATTGCAAAGACCATGAACTAGATCAGGCACACCTTAGTCTCTAGACTGACATCGTTGCTTCTCAGTACTCCATAAAGGTCCCTGACAACAGATTTACCTAATGCAATTCGCCTTTTGATTTTCTGACTGCTTGAGCCAAGAGTGTTGATTGTGAAGACGAGCAAGCTGTAACTGTTAACAACCTCAATCTTTTCTCCTTACATCATGGTGCTGCCAATTGGCTCAGTGGTAAGAGTCTTTATCTTCTTGATGTTGAGTTTTATTCCATATTAAAGACTACAGTCCTCTGCAGCAAGTGCTTCATTCAGAAATAGACAATTCGTTTCAGAGTCACACATGTAGTAAGTAGCACAGTCCAGAATTCAAACCTAGTTCTACCTTGCCTCCTAAACCAGACTTGTTTGAACACACATAACATCCTCTTAATCTTTAGTCCCTTTTAAAGGTGCCATGCCTCATTAAAATAATGGAATATAAATTTAACTTTCTTTAATGTTATTTTTGATGTCTTAAAAGGCATCAATTTCTACAATGTGAAAAATTCTGTTGCTTTTTTTTATTGGTTTGCTCACAAAGTTCATATACATTGTGTTTCACACTATTCTTCATTCATATTGTGTTTCATACAATCATTCCCATGCATTATGTTTTATAAACTTAATCACCATTAGACCTTGCCCATCATTACCCAATCTTTTCAGGTCCCCGCCAGATCCTTCCCACTTTCTTCACACCCTCCCTCCACCACACTGTGCATCTTAAAGTTGAAAATTTATGTGCACAGAGGTTGTAGAAACCTGTTGATTGTATCAGAACTTCTTCCATTTGCTAATTTAAGAACCTTTGATTATATTAAAGAATTGAAAGTCTTCACACCTTCCTATACTTCAGAATGAAAATAGTCTTCAGCCTGTTATCCTTTCTAACAAAGTCCAGCTACAACTCTATGACTGAAGCCTACAGTGTTCAATAGACCATAATTCCACCCATACATTATCCACTTAAATAATCAAGACTGTATCATACTTAGTACGTGCTGCATGGCTTACATCTTCTGCCACAGTCCCTGCCATCCACTGGGAAGATGGTAACAAATAAGATGTTGTGGTGCCAGATACAATAGAATGCTGATGTTTGTATTATTATTTCACAGACGTGAATGTCTTTCCTTTTACAGCAGCTCTTATTTTCTTTGGGGAGGACAAAGCCACAAATTTGTTATATAAAATGTTTTGTGCAATCACACACATTAACCTAAAGAAGCTAAATTTGGTTTAAACTCCAAAGGGCTCCAGGTAAGCCCCAGATTAGTCCGAGGGATTAACAGAGTCATATATTTTGCTGCACATTCTTTGGCAAATATTCTTCCCTGAGTACAAAGAGCAACATGCAGACAGTCAGAACGCCCTTTTGAGGAGTCCTGGAAACTTGCTTGAGATCATGGGTCAGGTGGTTTTTCACTCCAGCAATAAAAGCACTTCACTTGTTTCTCAGACAATCATGAGCTCTCATTCTGTGCAGTTCCGTGGGCAGCCTTCCATAGGGTGATCAAGAAACAGAAAGAGCAGCCTTTGTTTGCAAGTTTTCTCAGCTAGAAAGCCTCGTCTCCTCAGAACCTCCCCAGCCATGGTCCTAGGGTGAATCATGCCTTGTCCAAGCCAGGGGCCCAGGAGGCTGTGTGCTCTGTAGGCATCGCAGGCTGCATTGCTTCCTTTGAACGCACTGTCTTCTCTGTGAGGAAGCCAAAGGCTGAACTGCTCACCAGTGAGCGAGAGAGGTGAATGAAGGAGCCAAGTGACTCAACGTCTGGTCCAAGCGCTCTTCCTGAATTAAGGCTGCAAGGACCTGTGGTGCTGTTAGGCTTTGAGCCTAAAATAACACCCTGGAAAACTCTTAATGCTAAGAACAGATCTGTGGCATTTGCCTCGCTTGTGGGTTGAGGTACTCAGTAATTAAGGTTTCCTGCAGTGAGCTTCAGAGTCTGAAGTGGAGAAAGATTGGTTTTCGGGGTACGTCTTTTTGTCTGGCATTGGCTCTTAGTACAGACATGTGCAGATATAAGAGCTTGCCTTCCTAGAATTATCACAGAGATTAGCAACTGATGCAAAGGAGTTGTACCATAAAAGGATTTTCCTCAACAACTAACAGCTTTGACTTCTATGACTTTTTTTTATTTTAATGAAAGTTTACAGAGACGTAGGGTTTCCAGTCATTTATTGTTGCACTTTTATCCCTGCCCACCCCCACCCCCACCCCTGAATTCACTCTTCTCCTTGAAAAGTAAAAGAAAAACTCTTTCATTCTTATGCAATCTCTCCCCCCAAGTCTAGTCCACTGCGCAGCCTTCATTCTGGACTCCCAGTCATATATCCCTTTTAAGCAGTTCTCTCCCTCATCTGTTTCAATGCAGTATACATTATTCCTCCCCTCTACGACTTTTATCCTATGTACTGCACCTACCTGGCTCATTTCCTTCCCAACCTCCCTGCTGTCGTTTTCAGTTTTAACCTGATTAATGGTTTATTACCTTTGAGTGTACTTGGGTGTATGGATCCACATATGAGAGCTTTGCTAGCTCTGGTTTAATGGAAACTGAGATCCATGGCCCTGAAGTGGAAATGTCACTTGAGTTTGAATCTTGCAGATTTTCTCACCTTGGTCTTCAGATTATAGTTATTAAATATAAGCTTCTTGAAATATACACGTTATGGGATTGTCATGAATCTTTTTTGAACAGGTATAGGTGCCTTTAATATTGATCAGTCACCTCTCATGATAACCCTATATGTAACAAAAACAACTACTCTTGGAATCTCTGTTGTGCTTCAAGTTCATTGCTGCAGCCATTGTGTAAATCCATCAGGTTTTTCCTGTTTGATTGCTGACCTTCTACTTTTCCAAGCATGCTGTCCTTCTCCAGGGACTGTCCCTTGCTGATAACAGGCTCAGGTTTGTGAGCTGCTGTGTTTATACCCCAAACCCACAGTGACCTCGTGCATGAAGAAACAAGGTCTGTCCTGCCTCTATTTTCACCCACAATAAGTTGCAGGTCAGAGTGTTGCAATTCTCTTAAGTAGTTTTCATTAGCCGACTCTTGAAAGTCGAGTCTAGTCTGAATGTTCCTCTGAAATTTCTTTAGCGCCATAGAAACTCGCAAGCTTCTGCTGACAGATAGGTGAGACCTAGACATCTGCTGCATTGAGCAAAAATTGAACCCAGGTTTCCCATATGGGAGGTAAGAACCACTCAATGCTCATTTAATATCTCCCCTTTCTTTTTTTAAAATTTTTTAAATTTTATTATTTTTGTGTGCGTGTACCGTCAAATCAGATCTGACTGGTACAGGAGGAGATTGTCCCTCCTTCCCCAGCAGAGCAACTGGTGGATTCAAACCGTGCGTCTCTGGGATTGTAGTTGGAGCTCCTTGCCACTAGGCCACCAGAGCTCCCCCCATAACATCTCCCCTTTCTTTATGTAACTGCATTGTATTCGATGTTTGGTTTTCATTCCTACACACTGTAAAGATGGGAACTTTTTTTATTTTAATTTTTTTTATTATTATTCATTTCAATGAACATCTACAGAGATTTTGGAATTCCATTCATTCATTGTTGCACTTTTCTCCCCACCCACACCTCCATCCCCACTTCACTCCTCTCCTTGAAATATCTCAGTCACAAAAGGACAAATATTATATGGTGCCACTGTTGTAGAATGAGGCTGACATTGGGGGTGGGGGTAGGACTGAGAAAAACTTGATAAATTACATTTACTGCATTGAAGCCGATGAGGGAGAGAATCGTTTCAAATTAATATATCTTAAAGCATTATGATTATCATAATAGTCTGAAATGAGGATTGCAGAGTGGAGTATACTTGGGGTGGGAGTGGGCATGTGCGGGGTTGGGAGGGGATTGTGTACAAATGAAGGGACTTTTACATCAGTGCAGACTAGTTAAACTAGCCACACACATGAGCTTTTCAGCAGCTACAACTGTGGAATGAGTGCCTCAGACTCCCCCGCCACCCCGACCCTATATACACAGTTGCAATCAACAATTCAGTAATTGTGTCATTGCTGAATTGGTCACATCTGACAAGATTTTAATAACTTCAACCATCTTCTACTCATTATCTTAAAAGTCAGTTATTATTCGAGTTCATTCTTTCGAGGATAATACTGTCTTCTCTCCACTAACCTCCCCCTTGCCACCTGCTTGTTTATTTCCCTTAGGGCTTTCGCAAGGCATTTGTTGGAGAGAAAAATTGGAGTCGTGGTGGTTGGGTTTCCAGCCACGCCGCTTGTAGAAGCCCGGGCTCGAATTTGTGTTTCAGCGGCTCATACACGGAAGAATTTAGACACGGTGAGTTACGCCACAGGCCGAAGAGGTTGCCTCCTGCAGTGTCCAGTACTGTGACCTGGGGTCCTGGGCAAGTTCTTTCATTGAACCAGCATGTAGGGGGGCCTTGGGGTTCTCTCAGGTTGTGCTGGAAAACAATACAAAAGAAAATAGCTGTTACAATGCCAAGGTAGACCAGGAATGGCCAGTGATGTGCTCAACTCAGTACGTATTAAAATAATAATAATAATTTATGGAATAAAGGTCAAGTTATTATTTAGATCTCAGACAAAAGATTAAATTGCTGAACAGTGTGCTACTTACCTGTTGTTAGACACAAAAGTTGATCTGACATGCTGTTTCAGTATTAACTTCCTGCATCCTAATATTTCACATAACCACCAAACCTGATAATAAAAATGACCCAATTTAGCAATATGTTGGAAAACCAATAAGAAGAATAAGTCTGTTACATTAGCCAGATTTTAATAAAAGTGTAAAGAGTTTACATATCACATTTCCTCATTCTTTTATTTCAATCTTTATGTGAATAAGTACTATTAAAGGACTAAACCATATCAATCAATTTAGGGTGGATGGAATAGACACATAATATCAATGCAGTTTAGAAAACATTATTAAATATTCTAAGGCCAAAACTCTCAGGCAGATATAACTACGTCCTCATGAAGACTTTAGAGGGAAATGCTAATAAATATGACTCATGATAATGACAATAAAATCATCTGGAAAGGGAAGACAGATAACTGTAGGCGTGTGGAGGTGGCATGAATTATCATGATGGGAAAAGTTCACAGAACTTTTCAGTTAGAAGTTAGACTCTGTTCATAATGATTGTGAAACATAATCAAAAGTTTCTGCCCTGGAGTGATATTTTCACATTACTACAAAGTAAAAATGAAAATGTAAGTTGCGCAAAAAGGCAAAAGGAGTGAGACCTAAAATGGAGCTATTGGAACAAATAGAGCTCAATGGCAGTGGAAACAATGTTTCTGTGGACAGCGATTATAAATGATGGGTATGCCAAAGGTTGGCAAATAATAAGATGCAGAGAATAATTGCGGGGGGGGGGAAGAGATCACTTCAGGTTTCTATCGTCAGTGGATGGAAAGATGATAAAGCAGTTACATAAAATAAGGTGTAAAATCAGAAACGGAAAAATCTTCTTTGGAAGTTGGAGCACGAAATGAGCTCAGACATAGTCATGTTGATAGTGAGTGTAAACAATCCATCTACAGAAGAGAAAATTAGGTTCTAGAACGTGTATGAAAATGAGACTGTAGAACTCTAGTAAGAAGGCTAGAACTGTTATAGTTTGGGAAATTGATCATCGAAGCCAGTGGCAGGAGGATTGATGGCATAGTCTGGAGGATGTTTTCCTACTAACCCAAATCCAACACCTCTCTGGCAGTTCAAACCCCATCAAGGACTCTGATGGAGAAAGACAGGTGAGCTCTACCTACTTGTAAAATTTACAGCTTTAGAAAATACTGGAAGATCATCTTTGAGTTGGTTCCAACTAATGACAATGTTTGAAAGTAGACCATTATATCTGTAGAAAGGAGAATAATGGTGAGTTGACAAAAGGTAGACTTTTGTGAAGAGATAAGGTAGGATTTTAAGGGAGAAGAATCACAGACAAGTTAACATACTTAAAAGTAGCTGTAGAAGTCATACAAGAAATACATTGGTGTTATGTTAAACATGGTATAAAAGAAGAAAATTCAAGAAGAAGGAGGGTCCAAAATGTCCATTAAAATTGCAAAAAAGCTCAAGTAAGATGAAAAATGAGAAGAAACTATGAATCAACTATTAGAGGAGCTTGTTGCATCTTAGAACAGGTTGAGAAATTAAGAATACAAAGAATGCAAGAATAAAGCAGATAATTTAAGTCTCTCTCTCTCTCGCTCTCGCTCTCTCGCGCTCTCGCTCTAGCTTTCGCTCTCTCACTCTCTCTCCTTCCTTCCCCCCTCTCAGTCTCACACACACACACATACACACACTCACACTCACTCACATTCATAGACAGAGCATGACAGCTCATACCTTTCTGTTGCATCATTATATTCTTGGGACTTAAAGTAGTATGAGATGCAAACTAAACCTTTACATAATGGCATCCTAACAGGCGAGCTAATGCTACCCTTCCTTTGAGATGATGTGTAAGCATTGCTCTTACTGTTCAGTACACAGTCCACGTTCTTCAAAATGGGTCCTTCCAGTTCATTATGGGATGAATGGTAGTGAGAGAATGTAGGCAACTCTTTCAAGAAGTTAGACTGTCAAATCAAGGGGGGTAAAAATCCCTTAAGAGGAAGAAAATTGAGTGTGTTTTCACATCAAAGGAAAATTACCAGGAAGAGTGGGACATCACAGACATGGGAGAGACGAGGGCATGACCAGGGAACAAGCTCCCACATATGCTGGGAACAGTGCACAGCAGGGTAAAAGGAGTACGAAGGCATCATCCAGAGAACTGCCTCTAAACTTTGAAATTGTGCATCCATGCAAGTAATTTTCAGCAAGCCACTTTTACTAAAGAATATGAGAGAGTAGAAAATTATTCCACTGAGCCAGGGGCATGAATATAACAACCAAACATTAACAACACTCAGAGATGAAAATAGTGCTTAGGTAAGTTCCATCACCTAGTGATCCTTGATACAAGGTAGAGAGGAGGCCACTCCAAAAAAATATGCTATTATTTTCTATTTTAAAAATGCTATGATTTTCTACTTCTAAAAATGCTTCTATTTCAAACCATTGCATGCTCTTCTACAAAACCCAAATATAGCCTCACGTGAACCCTTCTGTCACTAAGACAAAATTATCAACATAGCCAACTGCTGAATATTTCTTTTTCTATTATTCTTTTCTTCTTCTCTATCTTTTCTTTTGCTCATTCACTCACTCACTCACTTAATAGTGTATAACTGACCCTCCATTGGGTTTCCAAGACTGTAAATCATACAGGAAGAGATTACTCTTCTTTTTCCCATGTCTCCTTTGATCTCACTCACTCATTGCCTTTGGGTCAGAGCAGGCTCACAGCTGACCCTTCCGTGGGTTTCAGACTGTAAATCACGTGGGAGGAGATAACCTTTCTCCTGAGAAATACTGGTGGGTCTAAACCACCAGAGGCCTCTCTTTTTGGGTTAGTGGCTCAGCTCCCTAAGGACTACATCGCCAGAGCTCAGATTCATGAAACTAAGTGTTTTCTAAATGCCTTACACATAAAAACTTATTGATTCTACAATATCCTGTGGGGAAGGCACCATTGTCTCATATCATTTTTACAAACTGAAAAACTCTAATAGTCTGTAGCTGAGCCACAAGGCTGAGTTTTGTACCAAGTTCAAAGGATGACTAAGGTCAATAATCTTGTAGTTCCATCAGCTTCTATTGGATCTGTCAGGTCAGCCATTTTTATATGTTTGAGTTGTGCTCCACATTTTCATAGCAGAAGGTCCTGAATAAAGTTTTTCTTTGCTTGCTTTAACCAGGACCTTCTACTTTGAGCTTTTCTAAGAGTAGTCAGTCAGTAGCTGTAACCAGGTATCATCTAGCTCTTGTAGTCTCAAGATTGTGGAGGTTGAGCTTTGAGTGGTCTGTGAATCCCTTGGACTGATTATTTCTATACTTCTTTAATTTCTCCCCCCCCCTTCCTTGCTGTGGATCTCCAGTCACCCTGTCAATCCCAATTCTTCACTCTTTAAGAGCATTAAACCAAACCAAACTGATCCTTGTTTCCTTGGACTTATCTCAATCACAGCCCAAATGTTTTAAGAAGCCTCATTGATTGTGCAGAAATCTATCATCCTATCTCCAGCCTCATTTCTATCACCAAGTCCATGCTTTCTAATTATTGATCATTTTTCCTTGTTCCCAGCATTTGCCTTCCACTCACCCATTATTATCATCAAGGTATCTTGATTGCCTGGATTGATCAATTTCTGACAACAGAAAGTTGGTAGAAGTCATCTATTTCCTCCTCTTGGCCTTGGTTGTTGGTGCATATATTTGAATGATAATGGTACTAACAGACCTTCCTTGTATGCATATGGACACTATCCTGTCACTCACAACATTGTATTTCAAGATGAATATTGTATTGAAAGAAATAGTCCTTTTAACTATGAATGCGACTCCACTTTTCCTCACCTTCTCATTTCAAGCATAGTAGATTATCTGTTTCAAAATGTTCCATGCCACCCCATTTCATTTCACTAATGCCTAATATGTCAGTATTTATGCTTTCTGTTTCTTCCTTAACAATTTCCAATTTTCCTGCACTCATATTCTCACATTCCAGGGTTCCAATCAGTAGTATCTGTTTGCAACTGTTCCTTCTCCTTCATGATTCCCAGTAAGGAGGCTCTGCTTCCAGTACCAATAACTGCTAGTCTAGACTAAGTGCTCTCTTGTACACAGGGTTTTCTGAGGCCTGTTATTTCAGAAGTGTATGGTAAATCCTTCTCTCTAGTCTCACAGGAGAGTGGAGAGGAAGTGGGTTGACTGAGGTGGGTGGAAGCCTGAGCCATCAGACCAGCACTGGTGAGGGACTGTGGGTGGGAGATGCTGGAGGAGCAAGAAGAGGGAACTGAGTTGGATGCTAACAGATCAGAGATGGTAGTGGGAATAAGATACATGCACCCAAGGAGGTGGTGAGGAGGACCAATCCTGATCCGTTATCTAAATATCCAAAATTTTATGCATAACACAATGGAATCATGACTGACTCATTATCTGCACCATGCTCAAGTCAATTACTGCAGCCACTCTACCACTCCATCTCACTGAGGGCCCCTTGCTTTCCCCTTCTGTTTCACCAAACACTATCTTCTCCTCTAGAGATTTACCCCTCTTGATAATGTTCAAGGCAATGAATCGTGTAATGTTCTATTGTGATCCATAGATTTTTTTTTACTGGTTAATATCTGAGAGTAGACTACCAGACTCTCCTGCCTTGCCTGCATTAGTCTGAAAATTCCACCAAATCCTGT